CCATCCATCCATCCATCCATCCATCCATCCATCCATCCATCCATCCAGGAGATGAGCCATGTGCTATCATAGCCACAATTTTGCATTTTAAAAATAAAAATAGGCAGTTCAGAACTAGTTCTCAAATGTCAGAAATGATCCTCACTGGAGAAAAAGTTAGAAATATGAAACGTATTCCAGGCTTTATGATATGTTACTTTGCATTGTAGGTTGGTTATGAGTAGTTATCTTCTCATTAGCAAATCTCACTTGAATAATTAACATAGCTTTGTAAACACAAAAATTACATTTATGTTAGATTTCTTTCAGTGAATACAATGACATTTCTTTCAAAATAGGGATGAGATAGACTTTTCATGAGCTGGGTCATGACAATAACTGGTGAGGTTTTGATCTCTTCTTACTTTATACCCAACTGTATACTGCCAGTGCTGTGCAGACTCAGCTCACCCACTTCATCACATGGAACAGGGGTGGAAATGCCGGGGAGGACCCCACGCACAACCACTCAGGTATGATGCAAACCCCATGAGTTCAGGAAGTGGAACCAACAGTCTTACCTGTTGTGTTGAAACCAAAGAGGAGAGGGCAGGACACCGCGAAGGCCAGCACCCACACAGCTGTAATCATGAGTGTCACACGCCGACAGGAGCTCTGCCCGGTTCCGTGCTGATAGTGAACTGGCATGACCACCGCTGTGTACCTGTAAAAGAGTACGGACGGGGTGAGGCAGTGTGGGAACCCCAGGTGAAAGAGGTCTGTAGAGGGTGACTCATACCGAAGCAGATGACAAGAGAAAAGACAATTCGTTGAAGAGAGTTAAGAAAAGTATTTGATCCCAGAGGACGACGCAGGAAGAATGGAAGAGCTGGGTGATGGAGAGGAGTGCAAGCCGGCAAGCAGAGCAGAGAACTAGGCAGGAGGCAGGGCCAGCATATACCCTCCAATGGCATTTTGCTTAGGACCTACTTCCTCCGAGTAGGCTCCACCTTCCACCGTTCCTTGAAATTCCTATTTTTAGTCCATTACTGGATTGCACCAATGACCATGCCAGATCCTTTAAGATCCGATTGTCTCAGAATGCACACTCAGATAGGCCCAATGGAGTGATTAGCAATCTCAGGCAGCTTCCAATGCAATCGAACTGGTAATGAAGACTGACCATCACACATTGTCAGTCCATCCCTGATTTTCATTGGCTCGTGTGTTTTCTTTGGTCACTTCTTGCACGTATTTCCACTGCTTGCTGGACCTCCCTAGACAAACTCAAGATGCTTGAAACAAACCCTTGCTGTCTACATCCTTTCATCTGGTTCTAGATTTTGCTCTCTTCAAGAAGTCAAGACACAATTGACCTCTGACCTTTCTGTGTCACTTGCTTACTCCCCCATTTCACTCTGCATTCAGTGTTTATCCAACCCCTGTTCTATGCCATATATGATATATAGCCTTGGATATGTCAGGCCCCACTCTGAATGGATCGAGACCCACGAAGGTGACTCTGGCTCTATCCTCACTGAACTTAGAGTTCAGAGAACGGGATGAACAATACAAATGCAAAATATCTTAACATAAAATGAGAAATATCATCGAACAACTGTGTGTGATGTGATGGAGAATAACTGCAGAGGCAAGCTGGGAGGAACCACACGGGGCATGGCATCAGAGGGCCTCTGCTGGTCTAGGAGAACCCACATAGGGCATGGTATCAGAGGGACTTCGCTGGTCTAGGAGGAACCACACAGGGCATGGCATCGGAGGGACTCCGCTGGTCTAGGCAGAAGAGCAATGGATGCTGTAAACTCTCCACTGTGTTCATTTCTCTGCTTAGCCTAAGCCCTCCTGTGATCGGCCATCTAGGTGGTCTTCTGCGGCCAGGTTGCTTCCACCAATTTCAGGACGTCTTCCTTACCTCCATAGCTAAAAGGCCAGAGACAGAAGAACTCTAGGATTTCTGCCTTGTCTAATCCCCCACCCATTGCTTGTGAGGTACAAAACATATTATACCAATGTAACATCCCTCCGTGATGGGGCTACTAATCGATAGACTCTGGGTTAACAGAAAGGGAAACTGTTCTGGGCGAGGCTGACCTAATCAGGTGGACCTTCCGCGAGACTTAGTTGGTCCTGAATTCAAAGAGCTTCAAAGCTTGGGAAATTATCCTGCCTCGAAGAGCAAACTGCTCTCCTTGGTTCTTTGGTGAGGAATGGCAAAATGGCTATAGAAGCCCTGGCTGACATCCGCAAGGCAGTAAAGAACCACACTGCTCAAGCTGTAAGGAACTGAATCCTACTGACAACCTGAACTTTCGGAACAACTATTCATGGTCCCTTACACAACGTGAGTTCTGCCTTGTAAACCAAGACCCCACTACAAGCGCAGTGTTCTGACTTACAGAAACTGTGCAGTTAAAGTGGTGTGGTTTCTATTTCTAAACTTGCGATAATTTGCTCCACCACGGCAGGAAATGAATATGCTGTCACTGGCTCCTCTTGTAAGCACAGGTCAAAACCGATTTTCTTCAGTGTGAGCTTGACTCCCTCCGCGAACATGATCTTCCGTTGGTTCCTGGCATGAACTCATGGCTCCAGTCAAATTGGCCTGGTAGATACTTTCCCACAGTCCTTGTCTAGTCCATTATCCTTTCTCCTCCCTGAGAGTTCAGTCTTGCCTTCCTAGCATCCCAGCGGAGCTTGGGATGAACCCCCCCCCCCCCCCGGGGCCTCTCCAGCTGGATACCTCTAACTTTCAACTTTGCACTTACGCCAACCAGTGGCATTGGCATCCTGAGTGCAGGTGTCTTGACACATCATGGAGCTTGTCTCGCCCCTGGGGAGAGATGAGCACTTGGTCAAAGCACGCTATAGCTTTATATTCCCCATGGATCCATGTACAAAGCAAGGAAGAAGCTATTGTCTGTCTCAGGGACCATGGGAGGTTTCCTTCCTCTTAAAAGAATGTTTCAGTCCTAGGCAGGCTCATGGGGAGTTAGGTATGGATTTCAGTGTAGATCAGTAATTTTTGTATTTTCAATTTCCAGGGAACAAGGATGTCAGATTTAGGGCAAGAATCTCCTTAATCTGTCTTGTGCCTCTCAAATCTTGGGCTGAGGAAGAGCAAGATGCGTGCTGGGTGAGAAGGAGTTGGGCGATGGTCCTTGTTCTTCTCGTGTGTGTCCATCTCCTGTGCTCCAGCTGTGCCTCTTATGCAGCTAGTTTTTGAGAGTTGACATCTGTGTTCCTAACAGAACAGGGTAGAGATTGCTGTGAATTTCGAGATGAAAGCTAACTCTGACTTTGGTCCATAACACAACAGTGACAAAGGTGGCTTCCTTCTGAAGATGGAGAAATAGAGTTCTTGAGTTAGCAAAGTCCTGTTAAGAGTCCCTATCAATTCCAGGGGAGGCCATGGTATTCCATTCCTTTCTTCTGGGGCACACGTTACAAACCCTTCTTTGAGCCCCTGCCTGGGCTGTGCAGGAACACAGCACATTTCCTCTGGTGGTCCTCCAGCTCTCTCAGTCTGGGGACGTCTTCTCTGCTTGGGCCTCCAAATCAGATGTAGTCACTAGGGCTTCTTTGTGGTGACCCTCGGAGGAGAGGCTGAGACTTAAATCCTGCTGCTGTCATGGACAGACAGCTACTGAAGACCGGGGATGGAAATATCAGACCATTTTCTCCGGCTCAGACTTGCAGTCCTCCTTTTTATGCATACTTAGTTTTTACTCTATAAATTTTATTATTAAAGAATGCAAATAAACAAAAACATCACACACCAAAGTTAGGTCAAATCCTTAGATGTTAAAAGAACCCAAACAGGTTACATATGAGCTAACAAACAGCTACCAACTGGCTCTCTCTCTCTCTCTCTACACACACACACACACACACACACACACACACACACAGCCCTGATTTGTAACATTCATCCATGTCTGTGGCATACATACTACCACCACTGTTCACAACAAGCCACCATCAAAGGTTCAATAACCAACTCAAAAAATTCCTAGGATACCGCCGATCAACTCTCACCAGCACGGTTCCGGCACGCTAGCGGGAGCTTCACCCTCGGAGCTTCGCGCTGTCTTAATCATGCATTCGCTCACCAACTGTGCAGGGTCCGTTAGTTCAGTGAGCAAGGGCATATACAGAACAAGGCTCCGGTCTTATAGAGAGGCACTGCAACTTCAGGGGAGTCAGAATGGACACAGTGTTTCTCAATGGAGTGATCTTCGGTCAGCCAGCTTTCCTATCTCCAGGGCCAGTGTCTTTAACAAGGGTCCCGTTCCCTCTTAAGGGGACATGTTAGTCCTGCAGGGACAAGGGTTTGAGGTATGAAAGGGGCCCACTGGTTCGTCCGTGGAGACCAGTGTGGATACCCAGAAACTGAATTTCCCCCAAGGAGCTTGATTCTGCTGTCAATGTACTGGGGTGTGGAGAATGTGGAGGGTTCAGGGGAGAGTGTGCGTGTGCGGGTTGTGCTGCGAAAATGCACATTCCCAGGCCATGCCTCTGGTGGTGTCGCTAAGGTACTTTTAAAGTGCAAACCAGAAATGAGTATTTTTAACATCTAATGTATCTTCTTAGACAAGTCTGAGAAAGCCCGCATTAGGGAGAATTCTGTCAAAGCTTCTTGTTCACTTGGGGAAGAAATGAGAGACAAGACTACAATCTTCCTCTGTCACATTACACTTTCTTCCTTCTTTTTAAACGATCAAGCCCGTAGAATAAATGAGGCCCCCCAGCGTGTCATAGGTGGGTGGCTAAGAGCTCGAGGTTGTTCCAGAATCCACCATTAGAGGGCACCAAAATGCAGCAAGAACTTCGCTAGCTCCGCCGGGGTGAGAAGTTCACGGCTCACCTGGGGGCTCTCCAGGCACAGTGGGGAGGCAGAGCGGGAAAACCACCCCCCTTTCATTCCCGGAGCCCTGCAAGGACCCCGCATTCCCACCCAGGGAGATTTCTTAGCCTCTTTTTTTTTTCTCAGAGAGATTCTTGAAGGCCAACCACAGGCAAGCGGAGGCCAAAGCGCCGGGAAAGGCATGGCCTGGCTTGACCGAAGAATCCCCAACAGGGCCACCTCCCTCTGGGGTATTCCCTGACACACTCTTCCTCTCTGTTTCCGCATCTACCTCTTTGGGCCTTCTCTCCCGTGGAAAACTCATCTGACCCGAATGCAGGCAGTGTGCACTGTGGTAAAGCCCAGGACTGGGGTCTGAAATCCAGCTCTGCAGTTTGACAGAGGGCCGGTGGCTTCAATTTTCTGTCTCAATTTTCTCATCCGTACAGGAGGGTTAACCCACGGAACCGGACTGTGTGCACAGCTATTGAATGAGATCACATTGGTGAAGTTTTTTTTTTTTTTCTTAGTACAATTTAAAATTCAAAAGGCGGTTCTTACTGTTATTACCATCATTATTATGCTAGCCCAAGAGATCCACGATTGTTCATGTCTATGTTTTTAGGTTTTATGATTGTCATTCTCTTCCTCTTGATTGTCAGGCAGGACATTAAATTTATTTATCTATTCAGACAAGTGTTGAGCACTTCCTTGTGTGGACCACTGTCGGTTTGGCAAGGGTAACTGATTGGTCTAAAGTCGTTTAGATATTGAAACTGGCAGTGTGACTTCACAGCTAGGGGCCCAGAGTAAGGCTCCAAGGCAGTTTGCTGTGGCACCAAGCCTGTAATGTCAGAATT